TATTTTAAGAAATAATATTTTATTTGAATCTCTAATTGACTTTTCTTGGCCGCATTACAATGGAAATTATAAATTGTCGTTTCCTAGACGATGCGGTTTGCATTGTTGATGATTATTTTGACTGACGTGGACATTTATCAAAAAATATTAAATTCAGATTATAATTGTGTGGAAAATATTTCTGGGACTGAATAGAAGGAATGAAGTATTATACAGGTGAGTGTATTTTGTTCACTCACGGGCATTACTGGGATTTGTATGAGAGTAGTTTAATATTATTTAGTTAACAGTTGTTGAGCTTTAGTAGTAGATAGAGAAGGGTATTTTAGTATTACTTTTTTGTGTGTGTGTTTTATAGTAGATAAATATTTATCAAAGGGCATTTTAATATTGTTTAGTTGAAAGATAGATGTTTATCAAAGAGTGTTTTAGTGTTATTTATTATAGATACGTAATGGACAGCTATTTATCAAAGAGTATTTTAGTAATATTTATTGGGTGTGATTTATAATACCTGGAAAATTATCAAATGGTATTTAGTATTATTATTTTGGAGTGTTTTATATTTTTAAGTATGACCCAAATTGTTTAACAACAATATTAACCTATGTCGCTTTGTGGCCATCCCTTTTGTGCGTGGGAAAGACGCCTTGTCGCTTAGCTGCGGAACAACAATATTATGCTATGTCGCTTTGTGGCCATCCCTTTTGTGCGTGGGAAAAACGCCTTGTCGCTTAGCTGCGGAACAACAATATTATGCTATGTCGCTTTGTGGCCATCCCTTTTGTGCGTGGGAAAGACGCCTTGTCGCTTAACTGCGGAACAACAATATTATGCTATGTCGCTTTGGGGCCATCCCTTTTGTGCGTGGGAAAGACGCCTTGTCGCTTAGCTGCGGAACAACAATATTATGCTATGTCGCTTTGTGGCCATCCCTTTTGTGCGTGGGAAAGACGCCTTGTCGCTTAGCTGCGGAACAACAATATTATGCTATGTCGCTTTGTGGACATCCCTTTTGTGCGTGGGAAAGACGCCTTGTCGCTTAGCTGCGGAACAACAATATTATGCTATGTCGCTTTGTGGCCATCCCTTTTGTGCGTGGAAAAGACGCCTTGTCGCTTAGCTACGAAACAATATTAAAGATATTTAACTATTTTATATACTCGATTATGGTAATGTGATCATGTGCGTTTTCCAGTGATGCTCAAGTATATTTTATTTTTATAGATTGCAAATTGCGTGATCATAGAGTGAGAGCATTACACAAGTGTCCCGACATCTAAGGTGAGTTTAGCTTCTTTTGTTAATATTGTTTGAATATTAAATTGATATTAACACCATTCATATATTATGCTATATAAACAAAAAAAAAATATTATATTTTTCTTACTCTCTCTTACATACTATACCTATTAAACCAAACCATAGTAGAAGGAAAAGAGTAGTTGCACTCTCCCAAATATTTTCTGCCAGTTTTTACAATCTGTCGAATATCGGCAGATTGCAGAGCGTTTCAGATGAGTCCCGCCCGTCGACCTGCCAGGTTCGAGCGTTGCGTCCCAGCACAGAGACGGATTGACAAATAATAAGTGCCTTACGTTGTATGGTGGTTGTAGTAATAATTCAAAAAATTGTGCTTTGCGTTTTTTTTGAGAGTCATTTGTGATCATGTTTATGTTCAGGTTAATTTTCTCATGACTGATTAACTACTTAATAATTTGATATTATTTTCATTTCAACCTCAATTTTTTATCGATTTTACTTTTGACAACCATCCCTTGCTTGCTGTTTAACGAACTGCACCATCATTGAACAAAAATTTGCTAGTACCGAAACTACCGAAAAAAATTGGAAATCCCGGTTCCTTAGAGGCATGGTACCGAAATTACCGGTTCCGAAAAACAGCTCCGGTTCCGGAAACGCTATAACGTATCATAACCGTGAATCGCCTTATACATGGTGAGTCTAAAATAAGTGCAAATATTTTTAGGGGTAGTATATTTTGGCCCCAGAAATGTGAGGATTTTCTGCGCATTTTTTTTTTAAAAATCTGGAAATTTTTTTAGTTTTCATTTAAAAGACATAATTTCTTGATAATATGGTAACTAGGATTCAGAACCGGAAATTCTCGGTTCTTTTGAGATATCAGAGAACCGGGTCTCGAAATTATTAATTCCCGGTTCTTTCGGCACCTTCGGGACTCGGTAACAATAACTAAAAAATCTTCTTTTATTACGTGAGAAAGTAGTGATGATATTTCTCATTGTTCCTGCTTCTTTTCTCTTTTGAAATTTCTGTAATGTTTATTTACCAATTATTGAAGTTTAAATATGTTATTTTATTATTTAGTACAATGTGTTGTTCAATGTATTAGTTTTCCAATGAAAATTACCTAACCAATATATTACCACAAAACAAACACATTAATGTTAAAATTAAACCTGTTTTAAATTAAAAGAAAGTTGTAGAAAATCTTTGAAATAGATAATAATATAAAAATATTTCATTATATATTTTTTCCGCATTTCTTCCCATCAGAAGATTTTCAGATACAGAAGAATTGTTTCTTACACGAAATGTGAAAATATTCTGTTTCTAAGCATATGGTCAACTCGATAATCATTTTATTTTATTTTATTTTATTGTGAACTCATATTTTCATAAATACATCTCTGTGAAACTATGGCGAGTGCCACGACTATACTTTGCCTAGCTAAGAACGAGATTGAACCAGATACACGCAATTTTATTAATTTGCTTTGATCCAAGTCTAATAAAAACCTTAAAAAAATAATATCATTAACTTGCGAAAGCTTTAAGTAAGTATTAATTGATTCCTCATCAAAAAATATAAAAAATAGGTTCATACAAACGTAGGTATGGAAATCCATAGTTTTAGAGTTACAGGATGTTAAAACTTTTTTAAAATTAGGTTTTTTGTATTTATCTTAAATTCCATTATTTACTACACTGACTAATAGTAATAATATCTAATGGTAGTAATATTTAATAATAAATTAGGTAAAGTATATAATTTACTATTTTTATTTTTATTTTAATTTTATTAATTGTGATTAATAAAATTGCGTTTATCTCATCAAGGAGGCCGAATTCGATAAAATATCAAGAGATTACTTTTAATTGGTATTAAAGGGTCACACGAAAGGGCCACACACAATTTTAATATCAAAAGAAATAAGTCAGTGGCGCGCATGTTTTTTTTTTGAAAAATATTCCAGTGATAACCCATATGCGCGTCCCTTATGAGTTTATCGACACTTTTTTTGCATTAAAATATATTAGTTACTTACAATATTTCATTCGGATCATTAAAAGTACTTAGAAGAAAATTGTAATAAATCGAAAGATTATTAAGACTTTAACACCTTGTAGCTACGAAACACAGCAGAAACGGACCCATGTTGATATGAAAAATAAATCTTATTTTTACGTGAGGAATCTCTCCACGAGAGATGGCACATGTTTTTTGAAACACCCCTGTATACATCCATACATCCAAACAAACTTTCGTGTTTATAATATCAGTAAGGATTGCCAAACAATTATCTTATATATAGGGTGATTCCTATAAGTCGGTCATGCTTTCGGGGAATAATAGAGGACGTCGAAATATTAATTTTGATATAGCACACAATGCTATCTTATATATCTTCCGCAAGATACAGGGTATTAAAGTTTTTGAAAAATTAAAGATATTCTATGAGAATGTTAAATAGAGCGAATTATTATAACTAGAGGACAGAAAACACATGTGCTCTCTTCATCACTTACATGTGAATTTAAATAGGCCAAGGTTTATTAGCTCCTTAAATAAATTGTTAAAAAATTATAAATTTAAACTAGAAATTTGTTTATTGTTTATGATAAAATTCTTAGTTTTAAAGTAGTTATAATAATTCGCATATATTTAAGGTTCTCATTAAAAAAAATATTTATTTCTAAATTGTGACAAAATGGTGTTAGATAGGAGAAAGTTTCATGGGATATTTGTTGTTGGAAATAAACCAAGTAAATAAAAAAAACTCCAAAACTTTTATTTTTAGCAGTGGCGTACTATTTTTTTTTTGAAAAAAAGAATTACCCGATCGTATCACATCTACGCCACGGGTTGAAACTAAAACCTCTCCTTTTTACATTTAACGTGTCTCTGTTAGGTAGACTCTAATAATAAAATAAAATGTTATAGCGATACTTGCAACTGTTAAAAAATTATTAAGAATATCTTTAATTTTTCAAAAACTTTAACACCCTGTATCTTGTGTAAGAGGTATTTCCGACCCATAGTGTGCTATATCAAAATTAATATTTCGACGTCCCCCTTCATTCCCCGAAAGCATGACCAACTTACAGGAATCACCCTGTATAAGTTATATCATATACACGAATTACAGGATGTTGCATTTTAAAAAATTGAGACAAAGCATTTTAAATATTGCGATGTGGGCGACACTATAAAAATTACCCTGTATAAGGTAATGTAAATTTTCCTTCACGAATTTATTCTGTTATTCTTGGTGTTTAGGAAATTATAGCCAATTATTAAAAAGTTAATTTCACTCGTTTTTAACCACTTTTCAGATGTAGTATTTTTAACCAAAGTTTCAGTAAATAAGAAATAGAATGATAGAATGTAGAGTGAGGGGAGGGGGATGGGTCAATCACCGCCATGCCCTTCACAGTCGAGGAGTTTGTCTCCGGCTGAGGTATCCGTGAGGTAGAGGCTGGAAAATCTGTCTACATTTTTCCACCTCTTCAACTTGGTTTCTCCTTAGTAATAAATAATAAAATGCATTTACAATTTTAATGTATTAGCATAAATAAACATAATATGTTACTAGTCGTTCTAATATTTAATTTCCTGGGGTACAACTTCCGTTCGCGCAGCGGGAACTGTCCTCGTTAGATTAGGCATACAGACTTTTTATATAAAACATTGGGTACGAATTTGGTAAATAAAAAAATCAGACAGTAAAAGAATAATGTCGGTTTTAAAGGTATCGTGGATAATAGTTGTATTATCCGTCATTACTAAAGCGGTAAGTAAAAATAAGTATAAATAAATTATAACACAGAAGATTAAATTATTTTTAATTTAGTCTGAGCTAGAAACATTTTCTTTAAACATTTTGTCTGGGTAACAACCCCTCTGTAACCTTTTTAATTTAGATATTACTTATTCTTATGTACAGGGTGAGTCAACGATAGAGTAAAGTCCATTATCTCATTTGTTTCGAGGTTTACAAAAAAATGTTAAATACAAAAGTTATAGGGAAGATTAAGGTACATATTTTAAAATTATTATAGAGTATACAGGGTGCTTCAAAAAAGTGTGGCGGATATAACATGTTTTTTTAAAGGCAACACCCTATTTTTTATTTCATTTTTAGATTCTGCGTAAAATTCTATAACTTTTTTATATATAATGTTATATACCTAAAATTAATAGTTTTTGTAATATTTAAATTTGTTTATACAAATGTTAAATTGCAGTGTGGTAAAAAATTGTCAGTGCTACCATTGTTTCTAAAGTTGGAATACCAAAATTTGGTATGAGAGTTCTATAGAGATTAGAAAGAAGATATATGTTAAGATATTTTAGTTAAATGCTACAGGGTGTTCAAAATATATTAATAAATTTCAACTGCTTAAAATTAAAAAATCTATTTTTTTTTAAATGGTACACCCTATATATTTTGATTTTTTCTGATAGATTTTGCAAAGCTCTTCAACTTCAATCTTTAATACAATTACGCTATAACATCATAGTTGCCATGACAAAAAATGTCTGTTAAGCAAGTTAAGAACAGAAGGTGAGGTTTTAGTTTAATTTGGTATAATAAGTATAAATGGTAGAGGTAGAGGTAATAGTTTCAGATTTTCCTGAAAATAGATTATTCAATGTGACTGATATACACAAACAAGCCAAAATAAACATATTCTTTGGTTCAGTACTATATCTTATATAGTACTTTGCTAAGTACTATAAGAATATATGTAGATTATCTAGAAAACATTTTCATATTTTATTATATTATAATATTTTCAGTGTGTAATGGGACGGTTTCGTGGCAGTAGTAATATTGGCTTTACGAAATGAATTATAAACCAGAATTACTACGAGAAAAAAAACTTTACTGTATGTCGAAGGAAATTTCAATATCATATCAGTAGTCGTCAGCAATTAGGTAATCTAGTTAGTATTACCCTAATCTGTGGCTATTCGTTTCGACGGAAAATCCAAATGTCATCTTTCATAATATAGAAATACACCAAGAAATCCACGACTACGATTTTAGTTTATTTGAGTAAAGATAGTTAATTTTAACTAATAATAACAATTGTAACTAATTATTAAACTACTTGTTAAAAATAAGTAATAAATATGTTTGTTTTGTCACGGTAACTATGATGTTATAGCGTAATTGTATTAAAAATTAGGGTAAAAATAGAAAAAAATTGGAATAAATCGCAAATTATTAAAAATAGGTATATGACATACTTAATAAATGTTGAAGAGCTTTGCAAAATCTATCAGAAAAAATGAAAATATATAGGGTGTACCATTTAAAAAATTTGAGATTTTTTAATTTTAAGTAGTTGAAATTCATAAATATATTTTGAACACCCTGTAGCATTTAACTAAAATATCTTAACATATATCTTCTTTTTAATCTCTATAGGACTCTCATACCAAATTTTGGTATTCCAACTTCAGAAACAATGGTACCACTGACAAATTTTTTACCACACTGCAATTTAACATTTGTATAAATATTACGAAAACTATTAATTTTAGGTATATAACATTATATATAAAAAAGTTATAGAGTTTTACACAGAATCTAAAAATAAAATAAAAACTAGGGTGTTGAATTTAAAAAAACATACCGCCACACATTTTTGAAGCACCCTGTATACTCTATAATAATTTTGAAATGTGTATCTTAACCTTCACTATAACTTTTGTATTTAACATTTTTTTGTAAACCTCGAAACATATGAGATAATGGACTTTACTCTATCGTTGACTCACCCTGTACATATATAATAATAATAAAATAAATTTACTTTATTTGCTAAATGGCGAAGTCTGGCTAGATAGCCACTCAACTTAACTCATAGTTATGTACCCATTATAACCCCTTAACCCTATACACAGGGTGTCCCAGGCTGAACGTGCATTAGAAGTTTGTACAGAACTACAATACTTAGATCCGAGATTTTTTGCATATCATTGTTTCACATGAATATTTATCGATTAAAAATATTTTCAAGATGGCGGCACTTCCGGAAGTACCGGAAGTTGACAACAACTTCTTTATTTGAGATGAATACCACTATTTTTTAATATATATTTAAATTCTCTGTAAAATTTCATATATTCTAATGTCAAACACTATATCTAACATTACCGTTTATGAGAAAAAATAAATTAAAATTTTTGGAGGAAAAAAACTGCCTGTCAAAAAATATTTGTATAGCCTAAACGTCAGATTTAGTTATTACCACAGTCACTGTGACATATAAAGAAGACATGTGGCTATCTATTTCAAAAATTAAATTGTTTTGGTTTGGTTTGATCATAAATAATTTTTTTCAAATAGAAGCCCACTTTTTTTATTTTGCTACTGAAAAGAAATATTTTTAAGTTATTTCATATTTAGTTCTAAAGCGTATATTTATCGTGATTGCAACTAATAGCCTATGACTTTAAACGTCAATGTAAAACAATATATATGGCCATGTTCTGACAGATTGTTAAAGAATCAGATCAGGTGCAAATTTAATTATTAATAAACAATGTCAAGAAGTAATTTTAATAACGAAGATGTATAAATTTGTTAATAATATATGGAGAATGCGGCCGTTTGAAAGAAATGGCATGTGAATTATTTAATAATAGATATCCTTTAAGGCCAAGTGCCTGCAGAGGAATTATGCAACGATTACTAAACAATTCCCTTGAAAATGGCCAATTTATGACTTCTCCTAGGCAAATGCATAACCAGTTGATAGATGGAGGAACAGTAATAAACATTCTAGCTTTTTTGTCACTAAATAATATTAGTTTTAAATATAATAATTAATAATATAATAGTTTATAATAAAGAGCGAGAATACGAGGGATATTTTTTATAAATAGGTACATTTTATAAACTTTTGAGGCGGCAATATTTATATTATACGAAATTTAAATATTTAATTTTCTGACAGAAGGAAATAAATTGGCTGATTGTTTGACACGTAATGTCAAAGGTAGCTAGATAAAATAAAGAAAGATATACGCCATAAAATTAAATTTTAAATGACTTAAATACCATTTATTTTAGGTATAGGAACATGTATAGTCGAAAATTAACGAAATGACCTATCCATTAGTAAAATAAAAAAGTGGGTTTCCATTTGAAAAAAAATGAATTATGATAATTTTTGATCCCTAAATTATATGACAGCTACGGTCAATACAGTATGACATTCAAAGAATTTAATTTTTGAAATAGATAGCCACATGATGTGTTCCCTATATGCCACAGTGACTGTGGTAATCACTAAGTTTGATGTTAAGGCTATACAACTATTTTTTGACAGGCCGTTTTTTTTCTCCAAAAACGGTTAATGTTAGCTATAGAATGTTTGACATCAGAATTTATATAAAATTTTACATAGAAATTAATTATATAATAAAAAACAGGGGTATTCACTTGCTGGGTTAATATTGTTTTAGTTATTTTGGTTATCTGTTTCAATACATTTTATAATAACATATAGCAAATTCTAATTGTATTCGAGAACACCAAAAAGTTCTGCATTTTCATACCTAAGTAATATTGTCAAAACCCTGAAAAACAATCAATATATTTTTCAGGAATATAACTTGGACAGTATTATTGATCCAAATATATACGTCGAGCCCCATGGCGAAGCACCATCTGAAACCCGTATTATTGGAGGGAGTGAGGCGACCCCAAATTCCTTTCCTTACCAAGTGGCTTTATTTATTGAATTTCCTCATGGAAGATCATTTTGCGGTGGTTCATTAATATCAAATAACTATGTACTAACTGCAGCTCATTGTATGGACAAGTGAGTATATTGTTTCCAATAATATAAATAACCAGATATGTTCACGGAGACCATTACAAACATATTCTGAACGTTAGGTATAATTGCTACTGGAAAAGTGGTCATTATCGTTGGTTTTGTTTTAAATATATAACTTTAAACTTGTGAACGTTACCTTAGCATCCAGAATACGTTGGAAATGAGCTCCGCCAACATAGCAATTAGTTTTAATTCACAAATATATTAAAAAATGTATTCTTAAGAGCAAAGGCTGTAGATGTACTGCTTGGAGCCCATGATATTCGTAAAAATGAATCAACGCAATTACGTCTTTCGTGCGATAGTATTACTGTGCATCCAAATTGGAATTATGAAAAGCTGGAAAATGACATTGCTCTGATAAAACTTCCTCACTCAGTTTCTTACAATACATATGTAAACAAAATCGATCTGAGTAATACCGGTAAGTAACATTACCTACATAAGTGAGAACAAACCAGAGATTTTTTACGTCATGTATTCATATCATATTTTTATTGTATAAGCGAAAGACAAACAAATCTGATATTTGATATTTAATTACACAGTTGAAATTACAAAGCTTGTGAAATTTCGTATGGAAATCGATTCGGTAATACTTATAGGTATTTTAAGTCACTGTACAGGGTGGGTCAAATTGGACGCTTATAAAGGGAAACACCCTTTTCTATAGGAGATAGATAAAAACTAATATCGGTGTCTAAGGCTCAATTTTTATCAAAAACATGATGGTGAAAACCGCAGATCGATATCTGTTACCGTTTCGGAGTTACAGGGTGTTTTTCAAAAATGTGCATTTTTAAAAAATCGCTGTAACTTTTTTTCTGTGGAAAATTTTGAATTTTTATGAAAACATTTCAAAAGCACCTTTTTACGTAGTATTTAATGGTTTATGAATAATTTTTTTTATATTAACAAATTAAGAATTATTAACAGAAAATTTAATTTTTATATGGGACACCCTGTATATTTTCAATTCATTGAAAATAATTTAAAATTACATTTCCAAAAATATAGCATACTTGATATGTTGCTTGATTGCTCTTCGAGATATAGATTTTTTAAAAATTCGCCCACTTTGAATAAGTAGGCTTTTAACGGAGCCGACTGTAATGCAAAAAAATTCTAGATGTGGGCAGCAATTAAAACGAAAATAATATTTGCAATAATAGAGTTGCAGAATTTTATAACCAATTTAAACTCCATTTAACATCAACACATTTAAAGTATGTCAATAACAATAAAAATTAACAGCTAACCAAGATATGAGATTTTGCTACAGATGTTCGACATGTCGACAGTCTTCTCTGTTATGGATAGACGGGACCGTTTTTGAATATTTCTAGCGGAATTCAACTCAGTGAAAGTGAAAGATAACCTCGCATAACCGCTAAGTACTTCTAATTCGTGTCTAGATTATACGGGCAATTAAAAAATAAGAACCTTTATTCTTCCGCAAACATAAAAATCCATAGGCCCTAAGTCCGGCGGCCTCGATAGCCAAAGGTTGAGATCTTGGTTAGCTATTCAATTATTATCTAAATTGGCTGCAAAAATTTGCTGATAACTTCAGCGATCTGAGGCGGTACCTTGTCTTGCTGGAAAAATATGTTTTCGAGTTCTATTAGGGGCATTATTAACAATAAGCGGTCCAAAGCCTTAAAAGTGGTGAACTTTTAAAAATTCTGTATTTCGAAGGAGACACTATAACAAAATATCAAGTGTGCTATATTTTGGAAAGGTAATTTTAAGGTCTTTACATTTAATTAAAAATACATAGGGTGTCTTAAATAAAACATCATCTTTTCTGTTGATAACTCGTAAATTATTAATTAAAAAAATATACTTAAACCATTAAATTCTACGTAAAAAGGTAAACGTTTTCATAAAAATACAAAATTTTCCATAGCAAAAAAATTACAGCGATTTGTTAGAAATACACATTTTTGAAAAACACCCCGTAATTCATAAACAGTAATAGATATCGATGTGCGGTTTTCACCATCATGTTTTTGATAAAAATTGAGCTCCAAACACAGATATTAGTTTTCGTCTATCTCCTATAGAAAAGGGTGTTTCCCTTTAAAAGCGTGGAATTTGACCCAACCTGCACATTTTAGGCACCTTTACGGAATCCCTGGCGACTTTAACTGGATGGGGTAAAACTACAGATTATTCTAAGGTATCAGAAGTTCTAAACCAAGTAAACCTGCCTGTTCTTGATAATTCAGACTGCACGAATTATTATGAAAATCTGATCCAATCGACGCATGTGTGCACATCAGGAGCAGAAATTAAAGGTAAGGTGTAATAATCTACAGAAGTATCTCATACGTAAAAAAAACAAATAATGTTCATTTAATTTTTTCTGCTCTCTACAAGTTCTGAACTGTTCTCAACAGTAGTAGTTGGAAAAAGATGAAATAAGTCAACAGACATTTTTAAAATTGATTTAGAAGTTATTATTATGAATAAAGCTAAATACAAAAATAGGGTTAAAAATTAACTGCTGAGAAATTTGTTAAACACAAATAATCAAAGTGTTGACAATTGACTGGTAGAGTCTATGCCAGAAGATCAAAACCCTCTAAATTCTAACTTTTGTTGTGTAACACTTAATAAATCCTAACTCATTAAATTATAGAACTGAACTACGCAAGATATCCCAATATTCCGTAGATATAATAGAGCAAGTACGTTAATTTAATTTTTTAATTAAATTAACTGGACACAATTCACTCTAAAGGGAAATTAAAACAACTTTATATATCGTATTATGATGTGCAACCGAAGTTATTTTAATTTTCCTATACAGGGTGATTCAGATTTTACTAGAATAACTTCAGGTATCGATAGAACTAACCGAAATAATAATAGTTTGTATTATAAACCATACTCCAAAAACGCTTCCGCTTGGAGTAAAATGGCGCTAAAATTTGAAGTATTTTTCATATGGCATACTGCTAATTAAGTAACATTTTTCGAACGCAGCTGAGCTATGTCCGGAATTTTGTGGAATATCTCGAAAACTAAGCGACATATCAAAAAAATTTAAGAACAAAAAAAGTTAGTAAAAAGACGGAAGGTATCAGAAAAAAATACAAATATATCCAGTGGCGTGCAACAAAAAGTTCGACAAGGTTCCGTGCAGTTGACACTCACAAAAACAACACCCTGTATAGCAATTAATCCAATTTTCAGACATATCAGCCACGTTGCCCTTAGTATTTAACCACACACTTGCGTATTTAGATCTTCTGGCTTACGAGTAATAAAATAAAAACCGAAAAATAATTGAAATTTTAGCGCCATTTTACTCCAAGCGGAAGCGTTTTTGGAGTATGGTTTATAATACAAACTATCATTATTTCGGTTAGTTCCATCGATACCTGCAGTTATTCTAGTAAAATGTGAATCACCCTGTATATAAAAATGCTTCGTTTTTCCATTAGAAGGCAACAATTAAAAAAAATAAACACATATAGATAATTTAAGAACCGGTACTCCGATTAAAATAGTTGGGGTTCCTATGATTTCTTAGGTTTAACAGTATTCGACTTTCACAAAAAAAAACAGAAAATATACGAGTAGGGTGAAGACTACCCTTACATCTACATAAATTCTCCTAGCAATTGTGCAACGTTTTTAAAATCCGTTACTTAATTTTTAATATGATTTAAGCTATTTTATATACACAACTATATGGAGTTTTCATAATTTTTGAGACGTATGAAAATTTTGTGTTTATGAATAAAACTCAGTCCTTACCAATGACTTTCGATGAAAAATAATCCATATAGCAATAAAAAAAATAATCAGTTCCCAAAATTAACACAATGGTATTTTTTTGGTTTCTGAAACGAAATTAATATTTAAATTTTTAATGGCCAAAAAGCAAAAACACAAAGAAAATTGATAATTTTAATAATCCTTGTTGCCATCTCTAGCACTTATGCAAACTTCTATCCGCGTTGGCATGCTTTTTCTTTAAATTATCAACGTTGTCTTGGGGTACGTTTTCAGAACATTAGAGTTCCTCCTTTATATCTTGGTACAGATTTGGTAGCCTGGAGTCTCGCTCGTCTTCCTGGAGATCTGGGAACCCGAATTCGATGGTCATCTGATCTTAGGCCAATTCTTGTCTCATCCAAAAAAAGAATATATTGCCAATTCTCAGTTGTCCAGTTTTGATGCTGAAGGCATCAATTTAGTCGGTCAATTTTATTTTGTCAAGATAACTGTAAGATCTGTAACCCTCTCCTGCTGTAAAACCCTAGAGCACGAAGCCATTTTCTTATAGTTTCAACTGAAACGTTTACACCTGTAGCTGCCAGAAGTTGTCTTTGTAGATCTGGATGAAAAACATTGGGATTTATTCTAGCAATTTGGCACACAAGGCGGTTTTGTTCAGTTGGGACTCTTTGACGACTTTGTTTGGGCCTGTTCTTGTGTGTTCCCAATGCCAAGTACTTTGCATATGTTTTGATGCAACACCCTGGGTAATGCCTACTATTTCTGCTACGTCTCTTTGGGGCATTACTTCTTCAATGAGAGCAATAATTCTTCCCCTCTATACATCTGTTCATCCAACATAAGGTATTTTTTTATTTTTTTTTGGGGTCGAATGAAAATTACCGGACAATCGTGATTTTACTACGGAACACAAAATTCAAAAGAAAATAAATAGCAGCAGTCGTTTATTCTTTATTCTCATGTTTATAAAAGGTGATTCAATATAAGTTTGGTTCTGTGTATGTACAAGCGTTCTCTATTCCTGATCCCAAACCTGGGTCCGAATTCTGGAACTTCGACATAAAAACGTTACGCTTTCAAAGCGGTAAGCGAAAGTATTCGATTAGCGGAACGTCAAGTCGATTTTGGTATTCTCGTTGCCATGCGAATCGTTTTCTGGATACGCGTTGAGCAAATATTGGCAGCATCGCAATTTCTCAGGTATCTAATAGCTTACTAATAGTCAAATGTGGATAAAACGATAAAAATGGCACTGTTACGTGAATTTCATACCCTATTGTTAAGTCAACCTATTTTTCTATAGATATGTCATTATTCTATTACTATACTAGGAAAATGTTGAAGACACTTCTCATCGTTCTCGATGTTTTGAAAAATATTTATAGCTGCCAAGTCGTAAATTATCAATTAGTTATTGGGGAAATTATAGAAGAAGAAATAGTTTTCACTAGAGAGCAACAGAACGCACAAAATCACAATTTTTTTCTATTTTTACTGACATCATAAGTAGCCGTTTTCAAATCGCTTAGCAATCTATGTCTACGCAATATTGGGACGACCTGTATACCTATAATAACATAAATCATAGTATGGTGTTTTTAATATTTCATCTAGGTGGCTGCAATGGAGATTCTGGTGGTCCATTGGTTCTTGAAAATCAACAAATTGGAATTGTGTCCTTTGGTTCAAATAGATGCACCAAAGGTTATCCAACAGTTTTTACGAGAGTTTCGGAGTTTAAAGATTGGATTTCCAAAAACTCCGATGTCTTATATGAATAATTTGTTAGTTAAAATTTAAGCCTATTAAATACAGGATATTTTGATTTTGATTTTTTTTATTTGATACCATAATTTAGTAACATATACTGAGATGACCGACCTATATAAAAATAAACATATTCCTTTAAAATAAGTACATTCAGTTTTAAAACACTTTGTATATGTCGCAGGCGTATAGAATAATCCGGCTGTTTGCAAAAAGACTAGGCATATTACAAAACGCCGGCTTTTTAATTTATTTGATCTAACAAAAGAATGTATTTAATGGAATCGATTTATGCTGTGTATAATTTCAGTTTAAAAGTAATCTAAATACAATCGTTTACTGTCCATTAGTGCCGATGTTTTGATTCAGTGTGACAATAAGGGCCTTGCTGAGTGTACTAATATTTTTCTATCGTGACTGGACGAATATCTTAGCAAACAAATGAGCAACCAAAATAATAAATAGAAAAAATCATAGTCTAAAGGTATTGGCACCGAACCTTCAAGTTTAGCTTCAAGACTCCAAGCAACCAGAGACCTTAGTACCTATGGGTAGGGTACTAAACTAACATAAACAGCTTCAGTTTTGAATGTAATCAATATGGCATGTTTTGAATGTATTAAACTACAAACCTTGGCGTGAGGACAGTTTCTGTATTATTATTATTTCTCTTTTATTAAGGTTAAGAACAACATAGTTGGATTCTTATAAATAGTGATCAAGGTTTTCTCTGCCGTGCTCTTTTACTTGTGAATTCTAGGCAGCGTACGCCACTCCTTTCATTTCATAAAATAAGTAGGGCTATTTACAAATTTAGCGTTTGATGTACATACCTTATCCTCTTCAAACTTCCCTAATATTGCGTCTGCAGGACGCCGAGATAAGTCACAATAAAAATTATTTTTAACACAACGTAGGTTCCTTTATTTCATTTAAATTGCTTGTTATACAGTTGGTCAAAATATTACCTCTTCAACTTTGTTGAACCATCCTGGGCTGTTATACTACAATACTTTAATACCTTATTAGATATCATTGTGGTTAGAATACATTATATTAAGTGAATACATGTTAGTACATCGGGTGTACACCACATGGTATACCGGGTGTGCCTCAAAAGTGGCTCACCCCCTATAACTTTTTTATTTTTTCAGTTAAAAACGGGATTTGGTATGTTAGAATATGACATAACTTAGGATTGATTGACGTATTTAATTGTTTTCGGTCGCTTCCTGTTTCACCGGAAATGACTACAACTTTTCATTTTTAAATGGCACCCTCGGTATTTTTTTACTTTATTCGATATAAAATAACACTCTGAATAGAATGACATCATATGTCAACTTTTGGCATTTTCGCATATGGTTTATTTGAAATTGTAACATGTGTTCATAACGACAATTTGACTCGAAATACCAACCAAACTGGCTAGAACAAGACACTAAAAACATTAGACGATCAAATATATTTTTCCAAGGCTCCTTGATTAAGAGAGAATTAGTGTTTTTAACATAGCCATCATGGCACTCTAGATTGAAATTTAAAATATAATTTTTTATTAAGCGAGAATGTCAAAAGTTGACATATGATATGTCATTCTATTCAGAATATAATTTTCTATCGAATAAATTAAAAAAATACCGTGCCATTTAAAAATCAAAAGTAGTAGTCATTTCCGGTGAAACAGGAAGTAACCGAAATCAATTGAATATGTCAATCAATCCTAATCTATGTCATATACTAACATACCAATTCTCGTTTTTTTATCTGAAATAAATAAAAAAGTTATAGGGGTGAGCCACTTTTGAGACGCACCCGGTATTGTAATATCTTAGAGCTATTTAAAAAAATAAACTCTACAATTTTAAATATTAATTGAAAACAATGTGTAAATCAAAGTGTTTCTATAAACCAACGATAATGCCGATGCCGGTCCAAATGGTCTAACCCTAATATTTCAATATTTAATGTATCAACTACCTTTTATTAATTGCTTTGTTATTAGTTAAGATTTGGATTATAGAGCCTAGTTTATAATTAAACAAGACTTATTAAGGTTTGTAGATTGAGGCTCGACAAGGAATAAATAGTTAAAAACCTTAATGTACCTATATATATATATAGAAACGTACTTTATAAGTCAGTCTAAGACATCAGTACTTGTCTTAAGCTATAATCACGTGCAAAAAGATGTTTAATTTCAAAGAATTCTATCAAAAACATCATCGGATTATCAAAATTGTAGGTATATGGATAAGTGATAACCCAGAAACAAAGATGCCCGCTTGGTATAAAATATATATGTTTATTGTACAATTTGTTCTGATTGGTCTTTTCACTACATTGCTATTAATCGAACTGATTTTAAACGGCAACAGTTTAAAAAATATTGCAACACTAGGTTATGTTATAATGACTTGTTTAATGGCTAATATTAAAAGAATTATTTTATTGAACAGAAAATCATATTTTATCTCCATGCTAAAACAATATAATGACAAAATATTTCAACCACGAGATGATGAAGAAATGAAAATAGCTCAGGCAAGCTTGAAGTTAGTGAAGAAATATTATTAAAGATGACTTGATGATATTGCTTCATATTTTTTTTACTTTTAGAGAATTTGAAAAAGTTAAGAATTTCTTAACTTACTTTTCATATTACTCAGTATTCATATCCGTTATAACTCCCCTTGTCCATGAAAAGCCAAATGGGCTACCATACGATGCATGGTATCCTGTAGAACTTTCTACAGTAGGAATTTTTGTAATGGCTTATATTCATCAAAGCATTAGTATATCGCTTATAGCCATTAGTTTTATTTATGGAGAATTACTAGTAATTCAGTCTTTGACGTTTCTGGGAATGCAATGTGAGCTTTTTTCCTATAGGTTAAGAAATATTCAAATACAGAAAGAAAATGACATCGAAAACAAGAAGACACTATGTGCATACATTTTGAATCATCTATCTATACTAGAGTAAGTAACATTCACCATTAGATAATTTTTAACATTTTTCAAATATCCTTAATTAAATTTTTCAGATTTCTTCAAATCACCGAGCAAATTTATGGTATGATCTACTTTTGGCAACTTGTCAGTTGTACCACGACATTTTGTATGGCTTTATTTCTTCTGACTGTGGTAAATATCTGTTTATTATTAGGTTAACAAGATCAGATTTGGTGATATTATTTATTTTGAGTTAAATTTGTTACTTTTCCTAATAATAGCAAATGTCAAATGTCAAAGTGGCTATTTTAATAATCCTTACGTTATAAAAGATATTTTGTTTCGTAACTACTTACAAAATATTTTTCTTTTCGCAACTAATAATAAAATAAATGATATACAATTAATAGTATATTACATACCGAGAAGGGAAGTGTTTCATTACTGTCGAGAGATTGATGTTGTAAATCGAGACGCGTAGCGTCGAGATTAACTAAATCTCGAGAAAATAATGAAAACTTTCCCCCGAGGTTTGTATACTATTTTATTCACAACCACATCATTAATTAAAAAATACGGACAGCATTTTATTTTGAAAAAAAAAAATAAATATGCGAAAATTTGTCGTTTTCTGTTTTGACATTTCCATATCTATAGTTACCGGTACCAGTGATTGTTATGGCGTAAACCTTCAACAGCAAAACAAACAACTAAGTGACAGTTCTGAATTTCTCGTTCGCTTTTTCGAATTTATATAACATAGAAAGTCAGAATGTTGTCGGAAAGTTCATTAATATTTCGTCGGTTCTTTAATATTGGTACTCCACCAGAACTTACAGAAGCTGCAAACAGAGCAGAAGCCAGTTTAGTTCCAGAGAAAAGTAGGGGGCGATATGAAATAGCATTGAAAGTATACGAAAAATGGTGTGCCGAAAGAACATTGCTTCGGAGACAGTTTTAATGGCATATTTTAGTGACATGGCAGGGCAGAAAAAACCATCTACACTTTGGGCTACGTACAGCATGATACGGACAATGCTAGAATTAAGGGAAAAGACTGACATATCAAAATATCACAAGCTCGTCGCTTTTTTAAAACGCCAGAATGTAGGTTTTAAGCCAAAGAAGTCTAGCATTTTTACCAGGCAAAACTTTTCTCACGAAAGCACCTCAAGAATTCCTTCCTATTAAAGTAAAGCTTTTTTTAAATGTTTTCCTTTTTCTGTTTTTAAATATTTCTTTTCATTGTTTTAGGTTGTGCTTATAGTAGGTGTGTCTGGGGCATGTCGAAGTGATGAGCTACTGAAGATTGAAAACTACGCATTTTGATATTTTTTTATAAAACAAAATTTGCATAGAAATTCCTGATACAAAAACTTATAAGAGCAGATCATTTATGATAACTAATACAAGTTGGATAGAAATTGTGAAAGAATTTATACAGTTACGAAAAGATATGGAAAATGAGAGATTATTTGTTCAATATCGATTAGGGAAAGCTCGAAATCAACCCTTTGGATACAAGTCTATATCTAAATTTCCGTACAAAATTGCTAGCTTTTTGAAACTTCCCAATGCGAAAACCTACACAGGTCATGCTTTTACACGAACAGCGGCTACGTTGCTGGTAAATAGCGGAGCTGATATTTTACAGCTGAAGCGTCTAGGGGGATGGAAATTCAGTGCTATGGCTGAGAGTTATGTGGATGCATCTGTAGCCAACCAAACTAAAACCGCAAATATGATATCTTCAACGACATCTCTGCCATCGTCTTCCTGTAGCAATTCAAACTCTTTACCTTCTTTCGCTGACATTAAAAGACCTGGCACAAGTCAGGAGTTAAGTTTTTTGGAGCAGTGAAACGTCAATGAGTGAAACACATCATCAGGGCGGCCCCTTAAGAATACCGATTAACACGTACAATAAGTTAAATTTGACGATTAATTTCAACAAATAAATGTATTAAAATCTTCAATTATTATTGTTAATCTTCTTCTTTATTTTTGTTGATGTTAGATAATTATTTAATAAAGGTATTACAAGAATATTTTGCTTAATTAAATGAGGCGAGAAATAAGAAAAACCGAGTAAGGGAAATGGGTGAGGGTAATTGTATAGCGTTTTTTTAAAACAACTACCACTGCGAACGGCAGCTTTTCATCGGAGAGCAGTCGTGGATAAGGTATTTCACTGGAAGGAAAACTAATTAATAACAATAAACAAAAAAAAATAGATATTGGGCGCCAGGCATGTACAGAGAAAGAAAACACAGTTGTATAATACTTAAAACTAATGA